TCAATCCTTTTGCGGGTTAAAGTTGAGAATTAAATTATTTTTATTAATTTTTCTATCTTTTAAAGTTAGCAGTCGTGTACATTAGAATTCAAGAATACATGACTGTTTTCTCTCTATATAACTATAAGAACTATAGTAACTATAATCATAGGATGTGTTCTTTCTTCTTAAAGAAACATCATCATTTTCCTGATACAAAATATTTCATATGGTCCAATCACTTCATCCCTGAGTGTGATTCATACATTCTCGGTTTTATATACAAGCTTACTCTTAAAGAGGTTTTCATTCAATTTTACTTGTTAAGTGGAACAAATGATATTCCTATTCTTTATGTAATTAATTTTAAGTTCCTTTAGAGAGGAATAAAAAGTTAATTGAAAGAGGTAATTCAATGCTGGCTTGAAGTAAAACAATTATAATAAGGTTTTTTAAAACCACTTTCCTCCTGACTTCATTGTTGTTATAAAATTTGATACCAGTTATCTTTCTACTAAATGAAAATATTGGGAGAGGGGAGAATGAAAAGTTGAGGGAATAGGGTTGACAAGAAGAGGGATGTGAGCAGACAGGAAGCTGCTCACAGGGTGTCACAAAGGAACAACAAAGCAGATGTGCTTGAATGAATTATGACATCAGCAGGTCCACTTATTTTCCATTTTAATTGAAAAGACACTATATTTTATAGAGGGTATCACAAAAATACTTATTTACTAGATCTGATTAAATTGCATACATAATCTGGGAAAGCTTTTTTAAAAACTTCCCTTAAATGTATCCATTGATTCGCTTATTGATTTCTTTGATCATCCATTCAGCCCTTACTACCAAGTGCCAGGCACCACCTGATCACTGACGTTGAAGCTGTCTCTGCCCTCGTGGAATTTCCAGCCTCATTAGAGACAGGGCCGTTAAATGAACAGTTATACCAAAAATCTGTTAATTTACAGTGCTGTTAAATCCTGTGGCAGAGAAGTGCAGGGCAGCCTGGCCTGGTGCAGAGGGTCGAGGATGCTTCCCTGAACAGGTGACTTCAGGTGAGACTTAAAAGATGGGCAGCAGTTGGCAAGGGGAAGAGAAACTATCACTGTGTTGCAGTACTTAACAAATTAAATCATGGACAACCGTGGTCTTAGAATGCTGTTTCTAAAACACTGTATTAGTAACCACTATAGGGTTTTGTATTCATCATGGACTTCTTTTTCTCCAATTTTACGACCACTAAAATATTAAATCAATATTAGCACAAAACCTATTCTTGTATCATTAGCTGTGATCTCTAAATGATACTCTCAATTTTGAAATTTATATTAAAAATAAGGCTTCAATGAAATGTAACTTTTTGTGACAATCAAAACAGGTTAGCCTTTACCCAATTCCATTCATTTGACATCAGGCCACATTGCCAAGGGGATAGTGCTGTGAAATAGCACTGGTGGGGTTAATTGATGAGAAATGGAGTTTTCTTCAGGATCCTCTTTTCTGTCTTCTCTACCCAGTGCAGGCAATAGAAGAGTGTGGTCGATAGTAATTACATTTCTTCGGCATCTACTGTCAGGCACTGTCCTGAGTGTTGTGTGCATATCAGCTCACTTACTCCTCACAGCAATCCTAGGAAGTGGGTGCTAGTCTTATCTCCATTTTGTTAATGAGGAAACTGAGACACAGAAAGGATAAGTGTTTCACCCAGGGTCACCAGGTGCTTGTGGTAGAGTTCTGCTCCCTCTGTGAAGGGTGTGGATTTTACGTTCAGACTATCCCAGCTCTGCTATGCAGTCTTTGTGTGACCCTAGACAAGTTACTCACCTTCTCTGAGCCTTAGTTTCTTCATTTGTCAAGTGAGGATGATCATATTTACCTCAAAGCTTAATCATAAAAAATAAAGATAATAAATGTAACTGTTCATTAAAAGACATTATTAAATCAGAATAGACTGTTTTCCTCTTTGAGTTGGAGGCATTAACAACTCCATGACTCGGAAACCTCCTGGGTGTAAGCGACATTGAGTAAGGACTGTTATCGTCTCTTTCTGCTCCTCTTCACTGATCTTGAAAATTCTTCCAGCTGGACAGAACCATTTACCATTCCTGTTAATAATTAGGCACATTCTCTTCCCAAGGGAAAAGAATAATTTATCATGCAAACTATACAGAGATTTGTTATTGAGAACTGTACTTTAGGAAAGAGGAAATTAGCTGGGTCTTTAAACTTCAGAAATGGATATATTATCAAGAGCACAGTCTTTAAAATGGAGGTGTTTATTGGTCATGTAACTGGAACGTCCGGCACTGATGCAACCTTCAGCTTCGCTGTGCTCTGGCAGCTAAACCTCATCACGAAGAACCCAGGTTCTTTCATCTCTTGGCTCTGTCTCCTACGATGCCGCCTTCATCTAATTCCTGCTCTCCTCGTGGCTGCAAGGTGGCTGCCAATCACGCCTGGGGCTTCATTCTTTCCTACCTGCATCCAGAGATGGATGCTTGTCTCTCTGCAAACATCCGATAGAACTTCTGAGTCCCTCTGTGATTGGATGCACACGGGTCACAGCCTCTCCCTCCATCCCTTGTGAGGGGATGTCAGATGCCAATAAGCTGTTGCCACTGCACTTTCTTTTCCAGCAGCCCCAGTAACAGGGAAAGTTGCAGAAAACACTGATTATCTAATTTAGAAGGGATTGATGTAATGCCAGGGAGCTGAGCAACTGTGGTCTGTCTGCCTTAGCCCAGTCCTAACAGACTCTCCCACTTCCATTACCCCCTTCATCCATTTGGATATTTTTTTCCCTAAAACATAAGGCTTTGTTCTTAATCTTTTTTTTCATCAGAGTACACACAGAGAACAATTTTTTGATGTACAGAAAAGAGATGTAGAGCATGTGGCATCATGCTCTCTGGCTGGTTTTGGCTGACTTTTGTACCTTTCATAAGTTGTTTACAGAGGAAATACTGCCTAGTGTTTCCCATAGACCCAGGCAACCAGTGCTCCTCTTCTGGCCTCCTTTGTCCCCCTTGTGGTGTGACCCTCCCCACGGGCTGAGGACTCCTTAGGGCCAAGGAGAGCTGCCTGCTCAAAGCCCTGTCTCCCTCCTTCTAGACCATGTCCCAGGTGATCTGGACCCAAGAATTCCTGCCTCAGCTGCCCTGAGTCTGCTTCCAGTGCCTGTTTTGGCCACTTTCCCAGGTCATTATTCCCAAGGGTGGACCACACAGCTGGTGTGGGCACCTCTAAACCTGTGGGTGGCCTTGGAGCAGCCGTTGGTAGAGAGCTGTGGGCAGAGCTTATAGGCAGTGGAGCTCACACACAACCCCCAAGGCCCTCCCTGATGGGTAATAGAAGTGGGGCTGGAAAGAGAAGGGAGGACATTAGCAGGTGGATTGGGATGGGGGTCACCCATGTGGACTCCTACCTAGCCCTTCAAATTTAGGGGTCTGCTCAAGGCAGATAATTCTTCTCATTTGTGTAACTCTCACCCAAATAAACTCAACTTAGCTATTTTCTATGACCACTATATTCTTACCTATCTCTTACATTTGAATTTCTTTGGTCAAATTATATTTTGTACATTTCTATTTACATTAGCAGTACAGAAAACTAAGATAAAGAATGTTAACCAGCAGACTTATTTCTGAAAGTGTCCATACTGTAGTACGATTGATACAACTATCATGTTTTCTTACTTTACATTTCTAGACATTTGTGCTTTAAAAAAAAAGCGTAATGCAAGTTTGGTTACTAGGCTTAGTTTAGTTATTACTTTAATCAGTTGAAGACCCATTTCAGTAAATTATCTGAAACAGAATATTTTTATTAAGTTCCTGGCTGATAGACCTGTCTGCTTTTCTACTAATTAGTATTCATATCACCAATGTAGAGGAAGAGATTCCAATTTTGGGGAGGGAGCCTGCTGTTTGGATAAAGAGGACAAAACTCCCCTCCAGGGATGCCAGTTCCCTTACTCATAACCAGACCTGACTGCCCAGGCTTCTTTCATTATGTTACAAAGCCACTGCCTCCAGGAAAGAAACAGAAAAAGAACTAGGGGTTGGGTATGCAAGTAGGAGCTAAAAACGACTGGATCGCTCCACGTAAGAGAGGTTGAAACTGAATTCCGTGGGTGGTCTGGGAAGGAGGGAGGAAGGTGAGGGGCAAGGAGGAGAAAAGAGAAGACAGACTGCATGCTCTGTGATGTGACACCCTCCCAAGAACACCAGGATTCAATCCTGGGCTCACAAAAGGCCCGAGGAGACTAGACTTCTCACTTGAGGTAGCTGGTGAAGAACGGCCTGACCCGTCTGAGCTGGTCTGGGGCAGAACAGAGATCACACACGCAGACACAATACCTCGAGCGGAGGGGCCCAGCGAGCAGCCCTTAGACCTCCACGACCTGTGAAAGTGAGACTCTAGCCAAGTTTAATCAGACGTCTGAGGAATAAGGAGCCACCTGTGACATCGTTAGTCCAACAACAACAATCCAACAACAACAAATAATAATAAAACTAAATCTTAATCTTTTAGAGCTGGGAGAAAGCAAGCATTTAATCTATGCACACACACTGCATAGAATAAGAGCTGAGCCCGCAGAAGCTCAACAATTTGCTCTATGTCGCAGGACCAGAAGTGGAAAACCTGGGCTGAGACTGGAGGCTTCGAGGCCACTTTCCTGTTTGAGGCTAAAATTAAAGAGAAAAGGAACATAAAAATGAATGAGCTATTAGACACAAGTTACTCAGAAGGAACACAGGGTGGAGAGTCGGAAGGCCTGGGCTCTAACCTCACGTCTGCCTCTTCGCCGCTGTTTGCCTCTGGAAAAGTTACTTCCGCCCCCTGAATGTGTTTCTTCATCTGTTGAGAATGACCTGCTTAGCTCCTTTCAACTAAAAATATTTCACTGTTTTGTGAGTGCTTCTGCTTAGGGAAAAGCAGATGTTAGAGTGAGTTCATGAGGTAAATGATGACACTTGTGTAAATTGTGAAAGGGTCTTGGGGGAACTTCAGAAGACATGATAATTTATACAGCCAGCATTGCCCCGGCTACTACTCGCCTTGCACCTGAAGGTGGTGAGGTGGGGTGAGGGAAGGACAGACGGAGGAGAGGAGACAACCGAATATATGGAAATATTGACAATGGCCCAGTCTCTGTGTCCATAGTGGGAATTGTTGGGGCCGTAGTCCTCTAGGCAGCCACGCCCCGCCGACAGGGTCCTGGAGGGGCTCAGGGGCTTCCCTGGAAGCTCATTCCTGGCAGCCTGCCTTCCCCGGACTCCTCCTGCACTCACTTCCACCCCTCACTCTTACCCCGTGCCCTTCCTGTAATGGGACAGAGGGACCTGAGTGTGACTTGGAGGTGTCACTGCTGGGTTAGCATCTCTCCCATCTTTTTCCTGCATCCTGCTATAGCTCAGACAAAAAGCCATCTCCTGCCACCACAGTTATAGGTCTTTTCCAGTTTCCCAGTAGAGAAAGGGCTCTAGGAGCTTCCCATCTTCCTGTGGGTTTAATGGATTTGCCTCTCTTGTACTCATTCTTTCTTGAACAATTATTAAATGTAAGGGGCAGTTTCTAGGCGCTGTGGAAAGACTAATAAAAAAATAGACAAAGTTCATTTTCTAGTGGTAGTGGGGGGTGCAGTGGGAAATAGAGTCACCAAATAAAATCGAGGATGCCCAATTAAATTTGAATTTCAGATAAACAACGCATAATTTGTAACAATGCATAATTTGTAATATGACTATGTCCCATTCAGTATTTGGGATATACATAACTAAAAAATTATTTCTCAAATCTGACAGTCCTAGTGGGAGAGAAAGAAAAGAACAAAAAATTATATCTTAGGTGGTAATTAGTGCAATAGAGTAAATAAAGTAAGATAATGGGTGCAGGAAGTGGTAGTGTGGTAGAGTGAGTGGTCTGGTGGTGATGGTGTGGGTGGTGATAGTGTGGTGTGGGTGGTGATGGTGTGGTACTGTGGGTGGTGGAGTGGTGGTGTGGTGGTGTGGTGATGGTGTGGTGGTGGTGGTATGGTGGTGTGGGTGGTGATGGTGTGGTGGTGTGGGTG